TTCACTGAAAGAAGAGCAAAACACTGCTCTGGAGGCTTTTCTCAGAGGAAAAGATGTTCTTGCTCTGATTGGTTTATCTGGCCCGTCTATCACCAACATAGGCCAATCAGCTAACCAGTATTTTCGCCCCTTCCCAAAATTACTTCTACGGAAGGTTTCCAGATGGATATGCGGAGCAACTCCATCTGGCAGTCAGGTAGTTATTAGCTGCTATGTTTAAACTTTACCAACTGAATTTCACAGCACACACACCCCCGCCACAAACACACACATACGAAAAAAAGGAAATGACAACACTGAGCAGTAGCTCACTGAAGCAGGTTTATTGAGCTTCTTGTTTGGGTAGTGAAGCGGAGCGAACCAAAGCAGGACCAACAGCTGCATGAAACACAGACATTACTGATGCATCAAAGCAAAAACCATCTGAAGATGGAAGTCGGCGCCATCTGTGTTAACTTCACTCACCAACAGCAGCTTATTAATCTTATTAATCAGGTAAAATGGCAGCATTTCATGGCCAACAATCACATCAGTCACTGTGTATGAATCAAAGGAGGGAAATCTGATTGGTCAAACAGAAGCGGAGCTGATAGCATTGAGAAAAACACATTTAATGAATGAATGGCCTCTGAAGGAAACAAATCCACTTATTAATTATTCACAAACAGCAGACCGATATAAAGAAAGGTTTATTGTTACAAATTCTCTCTGTACCCACAGATCAATAAGAAAAGAAAATTAAAGGTCAATGGGTTAAACATCACAGCAATCTGTCTAATATACATTATGAAACATTTCCCCAGGAAACTTCCTCCCCATCATCACACAGACCCCGCCCTGCATGGCGAACACCATCGAAGCTTCATCTGTTTGGTACCACAGGATCCTTCACTCTATTTAAGGTTAAATACTGAGTTACTAAGTTAGCAGTAGATCAGCCCCTACATGGACTCACACAGGAAAGAAGTACTTCATTGGTTTCCATCTCCTCCCACCTCAGTCCAGTCCTAAAACACTCCTCCTAATAATAGAGCATATTCAGCTATCTGCTGTCAGGTTAAAGCTCTGACCGGGTTAATAGAGATTTTAGACCGACAGACCAGAAGGAAGAGATTACCTAAAGACCACAGCTCTCCCTCTGGTGAAGTCTATCTTATAAAGATCTAACCTGTTTGGTTTAACTAATGTCACCCTAATGGATCAGCAGACCAGATTCCAGGTTCCTTAAAACACTGATTGGTTTCTCACAGATATTTCCCAGGAAAAAATAAATACAACACCTATCCATCCCCCCATAATCACCTTCAACAAATAGATTATAATTTTTAATATAGCGTTTTGTACTGGACAAGACCGGAATGGACTGGATCAGACTGGACTGGATCAGACCGGACTGGATCAGACTGGGCCAGTTCAGATCGGACTAGATCAGGCTGCATGAATACATCCCTGCTTTGCTCATAAAATTAGGATTTCAGAAACAAAAGTAGATTCCAAAACATGTCAAAGAATATCACGGCATTCTTAAAACAAAGAAGCAGTTCTAATGCAGGGTGAAAGATAAAGGCTTGGATTTAAAGGACTTTCAATGTAGAAAACCTCCTCATGGCTGCAAGCCTTTGGGTTCAAACATAATGGGATGTAGAAAGAAATCCTTGCCCGGCTCTAGTTAGATCTAAGCTAGTGTAAAAAGACAGGTGGAAGCTCCAGTGGTTTCTATGGCAGATTCTAAATAGAAATGAAACAAACAGACCAGATGTTGGCAGGTCCACCTTTAACTAGGTCTCTAACAGTGTTGGAAGTGTTGGAGCTGGTTTTAAGAAGAAAATGATAGTTCTAAGGTGAATGTGTAATCTAAATGGCATCACACATTTTAAGACACCAGGAGGAGAATCAGAGTGGGAGGTTATGAGGCCTAGATCTAGGAAACCACACATCTCTGCTGGGCCCTGGAGTCTGTCCTGGAGATGTTGACAGTGGAGGATGTGTCGACCACGCTCTCAGACACTGACTGGGTCCGGACTGTACCCAGAGGTTTGGACAAAGCTGCAGATGAACTTGCTTCTGTGGAGCCAGTGGAGATCTCAACATCCTGAAGAAACAGGAGCAGCATTAGAAGATCATTTAGGTCAGTTACTTTAAGTACCAGTCTGCAATACATCCTGTGCTACAGCCAGTACTACAGCATGTACTACATCCTGTACTCCAGGCTGTACTACATCCTGTACTACAGCCTGTGCTACATCCTGTACTACAGCCTGTACTGCAGCCTGTACCACATTCTGTACTGTGACTTGAACTGCAGCCTGTACTACAGCATGTACTACATCCTATACTACAGCCTGTGCTACAGACTGTACTACAGTCTGTACCGCAGCCTGTACTACAGCCTGTACTGCAGCCTGAACTGCAGCCTGTACTGCAGCATGTACTACATCCTGTACTCCAGGCTGTAATACATCCTGTACTACATCCTGTACTCCGGGCTGTACTACATCCTGTACTACAGCCTGTACCGCAGCCTGTACTACAGCCTGCACTGCAGCCTGAAGTGCAGCCTGTACTGCAGCCTGTACTGCAGCCTGTACCGCATCCTGTACTACAGCCTTCACTGCAGCCTGTACTGCAGCCTGTACCGCAGCCTGTACTATAGCCTGTACTGCAGCCTGAACTGTGGCCTGTACTGCAGCCTGTACCGCATTCTGTACTGTGACTTGAACTGCAGCCTGTACTATAGCCTTTACTGCATCTTGTACCACAGCTCGTACAACGATCTGTACTACATCCTGAACGGCAGCCTGTACAACAGCCTGTACTTCATCCTGTACCACAGCCTGTACAATAGCCTGTTCCACAGCCTGTATTACAACCTGTACTGCAGCCTGTACCTAATTCTTTACATCACTCAAATGTAATCAGATATATCCTACTAAAAGAGACCAAAGCCAACAATCTCAGTGAGAAGCAGAGTGTTACCTTTCCAAGCTCTGCAGTTATATCAGCGTCTGGTTCAGTCCTGGCTCCCCTCCCCTCAGAGGCAGCAACCTAACACCAGTGAGAGTGAGAGAATGAGACTTTAACCAGGACCTCAGCATTAACACCCTCCCTATCACACACCGCCCTCTAATGGAGGAAGTCATCCAATGCAAGTGCAACATGCTACATACAAGGCAGCTGGAAACAGCAGCAGATCAAAACATGCATTAGCAACGATGGAAATGTCAGTGGAAATGTTGACAGTGCTTAGAAGGAGTTAGAGATTACATCAATAAAGAAGAGCCACCTGACTCTGGGGTATCATGCAGCCATTAGAGGTAGGGACAGCTTATCATGCTTGCTCTCCTCTGCTTGTCAAGGTTTAAATGTTTCACAGCGTTTCTTCCCTAAACGTGTGAACTCCTCTCTGGGACACATGCCCCACACACAGTGAGCAGCTGACCTTTAGTTGATCACAAACACCAACATGAGGAGGCTAACCAGAGGGTTCGGTAGTACAGTAAACCAGTGTGAATGTAAGACGGCCCTCAGTCTGCTTTACCTCAGGTGAGAACCCCAGGAAAGATTCCCAGAGCCACCAAAAAACACCTCCTCCATCATCTGCTGCGCTCTGCTCCTCACGGCCAGCTTCTTCAGCCGGGAGCTCACCATGATGATGCTGCTGACATGGAGATAGGCTCTTATGAGGAGTTAAACGTTTACCAGGGAGATCAAGCTGTTGACGGATCCTAAACAGAAAGCTGGAATCATTTCTTATTTTCTGACTCTTTCTAATTACACCAGACCAACATGAAGTGGTGAGAGATTCTGAAATGGATGAAATGTCAAACCGTAAAAATCAGTCTTTCACCTAAATTCAGCCTCTACTCTAAAACCCCTGAATAAAACCCTCCATCAGCCTAACATCCAGCAGAGTCCAGCTGATGAAGGTAATCTGGGTATACGCACAGCAGGTCTGATTCCTGCCCAAGTGGTTTTGTAAAGAAAATCATGAAGACCAAGAAACCCAGCAGAACTCAGGGAGGAAGTTCTGGTTCTGTTTAAAGCAGATTCCAGAACACCAAGTTCGGAAGATCTCCCACAGCTGTGATCATTCCACTATCTGAACATGGAGATAGGATAGATCCTCCAGGTCATGGTCGTCCACCTAGACCAGGGGTCTCCAACTGCATTCCAGGAGATCTGGTACCCTGCATATTATAGGTCTATCCAGCTAAACCAAATTATGAAAACCTCGGCATGCATTCCAGCTTGGAGATCTGGTAAGGGGCAATAAATTCTGCTGGAGTAGGAATGCATCTATAAACTGCAGTACAGGAGATCTCCAGGACTGGGGTTTAACACCCCAATGCTAGACTTCCAGGCTGGACCAGGAGAGCATTAACCAGAGAAGAAGAGGAGCATGAAGGCTCTAACAGATGTGCAGAGAACCACAGCTAAGGAAGGAAGCTGCAGCCACATCGGTGGAATAAGGTTTTCTCACAGGAAATGCTCAAATGTAAAGATGAAACAAGCTGAGGAACTTCAATGACTGAATGCAATCAGCTAGTTTTCCTTAGAGGGACACTTTAAACTTTAAATCTGACTTGATGATCTAGGTGAACTGGATCTGTAATGTGGCCTGCCATTCTGTATAGAAATAAGCTGAAATGATAGGACCCCTGAACCAAAAGGCCCTTCATAAACACTTAAACCCAACCTAATCTGGATGAGGTCTTAGTTAACAAGACATTTCAAAAAGATTCAAAAACAATCCACTGGACTTTGTTTCCAAATTGGAAGACGTTTTTCTTCCCATCCAGGATGCACATATTTGGTCTATACCAAATCCGAGCAGAGTGGTGTCTGCAGTTCTATGCAGTGAGGAATGCTCAACCAAACAACCTCTCTACAGACGCATGGCCCAACACAGAACAGCGCCCTCCTCTGGACAAGACTCTGAGGTACATTCTTTAGAGGACCAGAATGTTCACATTTTGGACAAAGAAGACAGGTGGTTTGAGAGGGGCGTGAAGAAAGCCATCTATGTTAAGAAAGAAAAAACAACTTTAAACAGAGGGGGTGGACTCAGATTTCAGCTTTCAGAAACCTACAATGCAGCAATAGAGTTGATTCCTTCCTGCTATTGTCGCAACCCCAACCCCTTAACAGGGGAACAGAAGACCTCACCTATTCAGCCAGGCCAACAATTCCCTCTAACAACCCCCCAGTTCAGAGACATAGACAGGTATGGGGCATTGCAGGCTAACAAAGAAGCCAAATGACCCCCATTCCAAAGGGGTGGAGCTGTTTGTCCGTTTCTATTTGCATGTTTTCTAAATAAAAACAAGGCTTTGTTGGGCTGCTGTATAAAACCTAGAACTCAACGCGATTTCTGACATTTTGAATTGAAAAAGCTTCCTGGATGGGTAGAGAAACGTCTTCAAACTTGGAAACAAAGTCCAGTAGATTGTTTTTAACTTTTTTGGAATGACTCTGACCTGGATTACTGAGAAACTTCACCAGCATAGTCCAGAAGACATTGAGTAGTCTGTATAAGCGTGGAGAGGACATCCTGTTATTGAGACGCTGGGACTACCTGTCTGACTGAGTCTTAGCCATTCTAAGAAGGGGGACTGACCCAAATATCAGGCTTGAAATCCAAACACTCAGACCTACTGTAGACATCTTGGAGCTGCTGGAAAGACTTGATCAACAGAGCGTCCAGCCAGTAGGGCTAAATAAAAGTGGAAAACTACAGCGTCTTCTAATCAGGTTTAAAAACCAACTTCCCTTTAATTCCACTTCCATTTACCCACCATTATATACCGGTCCATCAACCGAACATCATCAGTTTCAGTTTGAACAGTTTGACTTTAAGCCCTCTCCCATAAATAATCTCAAACATTTATTTAAAAAAACAACGAAAAAAGCACATAAGTCACTGTTTCATTTCTATGTTCTGGGAGTGACCTATAATACAGAACGAGTATGGATTTAAACCTGACAATGAAGCTTAAAGGTATTCAAGTTTTTTCTGTCCTTAGAGTAGGACACTGGAGATATTGTCTTCACTGTGTGCCACTATTGAACTCAGGCTTTAGTGTGCAGACGTCACAGATCTTTGGCACAGATTAAGGCTCTCAACCAAAACAATTATTACATAGATATTTTACCACTCTGTCTTTAGAGCCATGATGCAAAGGTTAGTAGGCTTACCAACTGAAGCTATTCACACCACAGCAATGCAACCATTCCCAATAATGACTATCTATTAGTTTTTATGTTGGGGTCGATTTATATCCATCAGGGTCACATTCAGCACTGCATTTCTTTTTATTTGAGGTCAAGTTTAGGTCAGAATAAAGTGGAGAATGTTATTATTTTTAAATGATGTTAAAAGATAAACTGTTATTTACCTCCTTTGGAACTGTTATTTACCTCCTTTGGAACTGTTATTTACCTCC